ATTTTCTGTCTTAGGCTGTAGTATCCATTTCGAACTTCAAATACCAAATTTGAAACAATTCCGGTAAATAATGTCGTTAAAATCATCAAAATACCGAATATCGGGAGGTACCGTTATATGGGGGCTATACGAAGACGTGGACCTACATCACCCATTTTCAATACCAAAAGTCCTGCAGATATAATACACATTTGAGTATAATTTTATCGACCTACTTCATTTCGTTCGGAAGCTAGAGTGATTTCCACAGACGGACAGACGGACGGACAATGCTAAATCGACATAGAATTTTATGCTGATCAAGAATATATATACTTTGTAGGGTCTAAAATGTATATTTCGAGGTGTTACAAACCCTCCATAGTGGAGGGTATATAAAGCAGTAACTGTTGCGTAATAAAATCCAAGAGTTCTAATTTTTTAAGAAAGCTACACCTAACTACCCACTCAAGCCTCAATTTTCTTCCTTGGAATTACTTTTTTTCGAGTAAAATAAATAAAATAAAAATAAAAAATAAAAATAAAAAATAATTTTTAGTCACCATCGACGTTACTTCTTCCCAAGCACGTTTTTGGGCCATCGTCTAAATGACGTCGACATAATAGGACAAAAAAACACATTTTTTTGTTTTTACCGTTTTCCAAGCTAACTCTTTTGTTGACAATAAATAAAACGTTAAGTCAAGACAGCACCGTGTATGTGCAAAGAATAGAAAAGAATAGTCAAACGAAGAAGAATGGTTTGAAGGCAGATACACGTCAGACACTCAGACAAGTGGGTAGGTAGGCTCCACAAAACATACAAATAAAAAACAAAATTCTATTTCCAATTAATTTGTTTTTAACGGTGTCATCTGCACACATTTTTCTAGACTTATTTATCTGCGTATGTGTGTGTGTGTGGGTTGTTTGTTGAAAATTTATGGCTGGAAAAAAATACAATTTTTTGTGCCTTCTGGGAATCAACATATGTTGGATGTTTGCCTTTGTTGTACTTGATGTACATAACTTGTATGTTTGGCTGAGCCAGACGGGCAGACCAAGTGGCGTTGTGATTTTAATTGCTGTTGACCTAGTTTTTATTATTTTGAAAACAAATCCCCCAAAAAAGTGGAGTAATATTAGTAATATGGGAATAAAATTTGATTTTTTTTGGCAAAGCTAATTTTTGGAAGTATATTAAGAATGTATTTTGGAAAATCTTAACAAAAATCGATTGATCTCTATATATAAAAGAGTAGTGAAATAACTGACTTAGCCAATCTTGGTGTGTAGGCTTGTAATAAGGCTGTTTTTTGGACATTCATACTAAAAAGATACGAAAAGTACTAAAACCTACTAAAAATTGTATTGGACAATCGGTAGGGGGTAGAATTCTGAAATTTGAAAAGAGAGTCACTGATGGAGTGCAGATTAGACGTAAACAATGGCTTTTGGAAATCCGATCTTTAATGTTACGAAAAGTTCTAAAATGATACAAAACTTCTAAAATGGTACCATTTGGCTCTAAAATGATACAAAACTTCTAAAATGGTACCATTTGGTATTATGTGAACGGATAGAGTTGAAAATTTGAAATCAAGATTGAAAAGTAAGTTTGATATATAAAGGTGGTTTTGGGAGAGTGTACTAAGTGTGTGCGGACTGTACTAAATTACACTAAATTTGGAAGAGTTTGGTTTAGGGTTTAGATGAACCTGGAATTTCGAAAATTTGCATTAGAGTTCCTGTTGGTGGTGCGTATGTGATAAAGAGGTGGGTTTGGGAGAGTGTACTAAGTGTGTGCGGACTGTACTAAATGATACTAAATTTTGGAAAAGTTTGGTTTAGGGTGAACGGATGAAGCTGGAATTTTGAAACGTTGCATTGGGGTCCCTGATGGTGATAGGTATGTGATAAAAAGGTGATTTTGGAAAAGTGTGTACTACAACTGCACGAAAAGTACTAAAAAAGTACAAATATTTGGTACAATTTGGTATTGGGTAAACATGTAGAGCTTGAAATCTATTTTTATATTCTCCACCATAGTATGGAGGGTATATTTAGATTGTAATTCCGTTTGTAACACCTCGAAATATACATTTAAGACCGCACAAAGTATATATATTCCTGAACATCATAAAATTCTATGTCGCCCGCATGTCCGTCTGTGGAAATCACTGTAGCTTCCGAACGAAATGAAGTAGGTTGATAAAATTTTACTCAAATGTGTATTATGTCTGTAGGACCTTTGGTATTGAAAATGGGTCATGTAGGTCCACATTTTGGTATAGCCCTCCCTCCCGATCTTCGGTATTTTGATGATTTTAGCGACATTATTCACCGGAATTGTTTCAAATTTGGTATTTGAAGTTAGTAATGGATATTACAGCCTATGACAGAAAATTGTCCACGCAGGTCCAAGTCTTCGTATAGCCCCCATATAATGGAACCTCCCGATATTTGGTATTTCGATGATTTAAGCGACATTATTTACCGAAATTGTTTCATATTTGGTATTTGAAGTTCGTAATGGATACTACAGCCTAAGACAGACAATTGTCTGTGCAGGTCCACGCCATCGTATAGCCGCCATATAATGGCACCTCCCGATATTCGGTATTTTTATGATTTTAGCAACATTATTCCCCGAAATTGTTTCATATTTGGCATTTGAAGTTCGTAATGGATGCTACAGCCTATGACAGAAAATTGTCCGTGCAGGTCCACGCCTTCGTATAGCCCCCATATAATAGTACCTCCCTATTATCGATATTTTGATGATTTTAGCAACATTATTCACCGGAATTGTTTCAAATTTGGTATTTGAAGTTCGCAATGGATACTACAGCCTAAGACAGAAAATTGTCTGTGCAGGTCCACGTCTTCGTATAGCCCCAAATATAATGGTACCTCCCTATTTTCGGTATTTATATGATTTCAGCGACATTATTCACCGGAATTGTTTGAAATTTGGTATTTGAAGTTCGTAATGGATACTTCAGTCTATGACAGAAAATTGTCTGTGCAGGTCCACGTCTTCGTATAGCCGCCATATAATAGTACCTCCCTAATTATCGGTATTTTGATGATTTTAGCTACATTATTCACCGGAATTGTTTTAAATTGGGTATTTGAAGTTCGTAATGGATGCTACAGTCTATGGCAGATAATTGTCTTTGCAGCTGCACGTCTTCGTATAGCCCCCATATAATGGTACCTTCCGATATTCGTTATTTTAATGATTTTAGCAACATTATTCACCGGAATTGTTTCAAATTTGGTATTTGTAGTTCGTAATGGATACTACAGCCTAAGACAGAAAATTGTCCACACAGGACCACGTCTTCGTATAGCCCCCATATAATGGTACCTCCCAATCTTCGGTATTGTTATGATTTTAGCGACATTATTCACCGGAATTGTTTCATATTTGGTATTTGAAGTTCGTAATGGATGCTACAGCCTCTAACAGAAAATTGTCTATGCAGGTCCACGCCTTCGTATAGTCCCCATAGGACTGACTTTAAAAATCTTAGAAGTTATTTTAAAATTCCCGCAAAAAAACACTTAAAAGTCAAGGGAAAAAATTTAAAAACAAAAAATCACATAAATTGATCTTCAATAGTCGAAGCTTGGAGAACTTGAAATGGAATTGAGCAATCCTTGAAAAATCTTAGAAAAATTGTTTGATAAATCTTAAAAAAACATGCCATAATAGCCATTTAAAGGGCATAGAAACAATCTTGTATGAAAACATACTAAAAACACTAAAAAGGATCTTGAAACTTTTTCTAAAAAAATCCTCGAAAACTCTTAGTAGAATCATTTATAGGGGCTATAAAAATTTTAAAAAAAAATCACCGCAAAAGACATTAAAAGAAATGGAGAAATTCTAAAAAAAAACACGTAAATTGTCGATGCTAAGAAAACTTAAAAAGCCCTTGTAAGAAACCACATAAAAACATTTAAAGAGGTCTTTAAATTTATTCTTAAAAGTCCTTTAAATGCCCCTGAAAACTCTTTGTAAAATCAGTTAATGGGGGGCTATAAAATTTGTTAAAAAAATCTCCGCAAAAACCTTTAAAAGAAATAGAAAAATTCTAAAAAATCCGCATAGCCTCTAAAATAATGGATGCTAAGAAAACTTAAAATTCTAAAACCCTTGAAAGGACCTAGTAAAAAGGTTTTAAAAATCCATGCTGAAAGCCCTTGAAAGGGCGTAGGTAAAATCTTATAACAAACCACAGTAAAATCAATTTAAAGAGTCTTGATTTTTTTTTTTAATATTCCCGCTAAAAGTCCACCAAAAAGGGTATTGAAAACCAATTTTAGAAGTCCACATTAAAACCCTTAAAATTGGTCTGAAAGCCCGTATAACAATTCTTTTAAAAATCCAGGGTTAAAGCCCCTTGAAAGTCTACAAAAATCTCTTTAAAGGGCCTAGTCATATTATTTGATATATCTGCGCTAAAACCCCTTTAGAGGGTCCTAAAAAATCATCAAATCAAAAAAAAATTAAACCCCTACTAAAACTTCGCTCCTACTTATTTCCAATTTTGCTTACTTCCTTCCCTGCTTTTATTGCCAAATTTTATTTCAAAAATTGAATTTTCCTTTATCCTTGTCTTGGCCACCTAATGTGCGAAAGCAAAGTTCAAATATCTTCGATAAAGATAATCATCTCATTCTCATGGTATTGACCTAAATTGACATGCAAAGCATGCCTCTCCCTCTCTCCTCCCCCACTAACAGCAAACGATTGCCATAACAAATAATTGAACCATATGACCCAGTTATCAGGGGGGAATGGAAAATTATTTAATCACACAAACAGAAAACGAGTAAACAATGGCACACCTGGCAGGAAAGAAACACGCATACTTTCCTATAACCACCACCACACCACAAGGTCATCATCATCATGATTTTCCATTGAATGCTTTCAACTCGACCCAATCACATTAAATCTGAAAACAAATAGATATTAAATTTCTCTTTCTTTTTTTCTTTACTTTCAGATATTGAAAATTGACTTGGAAATTTACTTTCCTGGATTCAAAGAAGGTCTGGATCGGATTGGCCACAACAATCAGTCGTCGCCTCCTCCCAAACTCTTGCCAAACGTATTTTTTAGCAACTGTTGCTAATTTATTTTGAACCGAGACGTCGGACAATTGCTTAAACTGTTTTACGTGGAAGGGTATGGTATATTTTCTGGGGGACTGGGGCATGGGAGATTCTGACTGTGCGTCATATCATCAACATGTTCCAAATACAATACAACAACACCAGCAACAATATCATCATCACAATGAGTTGCAAGAACAACAACAACATCATCACCACCAGCACCATCATCAACAACAACATCAGCAGCAGCTGCAGCAACAACAACATGTTGGCCAAGTTGCCCCAACTTTAAATCAATTGTCGCCATTGCAGTTTGGTAGTACAACTGGGTCAGCCGCTTATCTAAGCAACGTAACAACACCACCACCATCAACGGTTACATCGCCAACAATCAGCAGCAACACCACCAGCACCACCACCCAACAACCCCAACATGTTGCCACAAGCTCTTTGGTCACTGCCAATTTGCAGCAATTGTCTGTAAGCAGTAATAATTTGAAATCATTAGCAGCCAACAACAGCAGCTCCAGCAACAATTCCAATTCCAATCTTGTACATCCACTGCAGCCGCGTAACAACAATCAGCAGCAGACGCAGACGCCACCACCACCCCCATCCCAACAAACAACACAATCTCATGCATTGGCCAGTGCTGCCGCTGCCCTCCATCAGTATTTAGGACATCAACGTCAACGTTCCGAATCCTGTGCCGGTCTAACCACCAGCAGCTGTAACAGTGTTGTTGATTTCATACGCGCCAAACATGCAATCTCGGAAACGTTGTCCGCAACAGCAACTTCTTCGTCGTCGGTTGGTAATAAAAACGGTTGCTGCACACCGGGCAATTTTAATCTCAATGGAACAGCAACTTTAGCCACAGCACAGCAGTCCTTTAAACAACCGCTATCGCAACAACAACAGCAGCCGCAGCCGCAGCACCATCATCATCAGTTCCAGTCGCAATTAAGCAAGGATCATTTGGAAAGTGAAGATGAAGTTGCTCTACAGCCGCTATCAAATCAGGTAAATATCAAAAATAAATAAATAATATTTCACTGAACGTATAATTTATTGACATTTGCAGAGAGGTGAAGGGTATTGAAGGAAAGCAAGATTCAAAAGACAAAGAAGTAGAGGGTGGTTATTCAATAAAAACTAAAGAAATGCAAAACAGCCCAAAGAGTAAATTAAGTCAATGGTGTTGTATAAGGAAGGCCGGTTTAGGAGATCTTCTGTTGTACAAAATTAGAAAGTAAATTCCTTAAAAGTGGTTTAAGGAGGTCAATAAAGTACCAGAAAAAATTGTATCTCTACAAAATGGGTCTAGAAAAGCTTAAAAATCCACTTTAGAATGTCTCAAAAAGGGTTGAGGAAAATTTCTTAAAAAAAAAACTCTCTAAAAAATCTTGGAAAGGCCCCGAAAGATATTTACAAACTCACTTTACAAATCTTCTAGGAAGCCTAACGTTGAATATCATAACCTTGAAGAGGCTTTAAAATCTAACTTAAAAGACCTTGAATAGTCTAGATTTCTTAAAAAAATTCCGCCCAACGCTAAAGGCCTAGAACATTTGAACTCACACTTTAGAAATCCCTGAAGAAACCTATCCTTGCAGATCATAGCCTTAAAAAGGGTTAGGAAAAAGTCTTTAAAATCTAACCTAGAAAGGTCTTGAATAATATAGATTTCTTAAAAAATTCTCCTCCCTATGCTTTTAAAAGGCCTAACAAATTTACACGTAATGAACCAAGAAATGTCTTTAAAATCCACGCTAATGTTTATTAAAAGGCCTTGAAAATTTATTGTAGATACCCACCCTAATAGCCTTTAAAGTAACATAGGAAAATCATTTGTACCCACTTTTAGAAACTCACTCTAATAGCCATTAAAAGAACATAGGAAAGTCATTTAAAGGTCCTAGAAAAATCTTGGTAAAACTCTATATATAGCCCTGAAAAGAAAAAGAAAAAATCAGTTAAGAAATCTATATAAAACGCTCTTTAATAGTCGATCCTGAAATAATTTATTATGGGCATGAGTTATTCTTAAAAAATCAGAGAAAACTTCTTTAAAAAAATCTTTTAAAAGCATCTAATAAAAAATCTTTTATCAATCTATACAAAAACGCCTTAAAACGGGCGTGGAATAGTTCTTATAGCTTATTGTTAAAATCCACGTTAAAATCTTAAAAAAGACCTAGAAAATTTCTTTTCAAAAACTATGGTTAAAAGCCTTAAAAGGGCCTATAAAACTTGTTTTAAAAATCCACATTGAAATTTTCGTTTTCAAAGTCACAATGGAGGTCTTAAAGTGGCTCATAACAATTCATTAAAAAATCCGTTCTAAAAATCCATCCTAAAAGCCATTTCAAAAAGGCACGCTAAAAGGAGTTTGAAATGTAATGTTGAAACCATAGAGAGGGTTAGAAAAAATGCCGAGAAAACTTATTTAAAAAGTCCGTACAAAAACCGCCTTGAAAGGAAATAGTAAATTTATTTAAAAAATCCCACTGAAAGCCTTAAAAATCGCCGCTACATTCCCTTAAAAAGGCCTAGGAAAATTCTTTCAAAATCTACGCGAAAAGCCTTTAAAGGGCCCTAGACAACTCTTATAAAATTAAACGTTTAAAGTCGTTAAAGAGGTCGAAAAAAATCATACTTTTGGAAAAAAATCTTTTAAAATTTTCTTCAAACCCCTAGATTCCATAAAAAATCTCATTTAACCCCTTTAGAAAAATTTATTTAAGAAAATACTTTTAACCATTTTTTTCGATCCTAGTTATCAATTTCAACCATAGGATCAATTTCAATTTCCATTGAAATTTCACTTTGGAACAGCCTACCATTGGGCTAGAATATATTTGTTTTCTTAGGGCTAGGAATTTCTTAAGAAGCCCACGTTAGAACCTCCTTCAATGGGACTAGAACATTCCTTAAAAATTCACGAAGAATCCCTATGAAATTCCTTTAAAATCCATGTCAGAACCTCCCGTAATAGATCTTCAAAAATTCTTTAAAATTACTCATTAGAACCAAGACTGGAAAAGTCCCTAAACATTCACACCAGATCAGTCTATTCTGGATCAGTGTAAAATTCGAAATTGATTTAGCAATTACCGTCTGTCTGCCTGTCTGTTGATATCACGCTACCCATCGAACGAATTTATATAGGAGGCTAAAATTTTGCATAGATGCATATTTTCTCAGTAGGCAGGGTAAGTTCGTAAATGGACCAAGTCGGTTCATATTTACGTATAGCCCCCTATAACGATACCTCCCGATATTCGGTATTTTCATGATTTTAGCGAAATTATTTACCGGAATCGTTTCAAGTTTCTTATTGGAAGATATTAATGGGTACAACAACCTATGGCAAAAAATGTCGTATGCAGGTCAACGACAATATTGACCGGAATTTTTTCAAATTTGAAGTTCGTAATGGGTACTACAGCCTACAGCTTCACGGTCCCACGTCCACGTCTTCGTTTAGTCCCGTATAATGGTTTCATGTTAGTGGTAGTTTTCGGATTTCTTTTTTGAAAAATTTCAAGTTCCTTCCGAATGAATGCTATTAAAAGTTCGGTTCGGATAGAACTACATTTTTACTTGTGTTTTGTGTTTTTGGATATATATAATCCACTTTGAGGGGTATTTAAAAAATATTTGAAATATATATCAATATTCTGCTGCTTCTCTTAAAGCACACAAGTACTATGCAATTACATCTATAGCACATCTGGAAGATCACATATGCTAAGCTTAAATCTGGCTGATTGAAGAAACCTTATTTCGTTTGAGTCTGACAAAATGGCTTAATGAAACTAAACCGTCTAAACGACTTGAAGTTCTACCAACGAGCGTTTATCTTATCTATTATCCCTATCGAAATCTAACCTCTTTAAAGTTCACTGTAACATATGGGCCATGACGTCCCAACAAGTCGAATACCTGCCTACTGCTAAAAATGTTTTCATAGTGGGACTATTAACTTAACCCCTTTCTTGCCCAGTTTAAGAATAGTTTTTATTTCGTTTTAAAAGATATTTGAACAGAATTCCAACCTCAAATAATGTCATTTCTTAATATATCTAAATTCCATTACTCAGTTATTGTTTGGAATCATATTTCATTTTTTTTTTTTGTTTTGTTCGTTTTGGTCTTTGTTGTTGTTTATCCGAATACAGAAGTCTCAAGTTCTTTTTTTCTATAATTTATTACTGAAACTGGAGTATAGGGGCGTTTTTTTCACAAAACATTTAATGCTTACATGGGCAAGAAATATGACAACTAACAATGGACACAAATGTGGAAACAAAGAATGTTTATTTGTGGTAATTTATTTCGATTCAAAAAAAAAAGAAAAAAAAAAAATCATTTATGAATAAACAAGAAATGGAACAGAAATCCAAGGCTGCAAAAGACCAAAGGTTCTTTGTGGCTGCCCTGTGATTCAATATGAAGAAATATTGGAAATTATGTGATTTATTTTTCTCGTATTACACTTATGGCATTTATTAATTATACAGGGTGAGATAAAAAAAAATGGCAATCAACTTCAAACTGCAGTCATTTCTAAGCCATTCTGGAAAATATTCTAGAGGGTGTATTAAATCCTTGGGAATATTGTGTCTGGAGTAATTTGGAAAACAAGGTTGGCATTAAAAAATACCAAAGTGTCGATCACCTCAAGCAAGCGCTTCGCCGGTAATGGGCCAAAATACCGCAGAGCAACATTCGGGTAGCGTGTGACGGTTTCATTGGCCATTTGAAGGCCATAATTCATGCCAAAGATGACCAATTCGAACAAATCTAAACTTATTCTAAAATTTGATGCTATTTTCGACATTTTTTTTTTTTTTTTCAAAAAAAAAAATTAAAATTATGTCGTTTGACTTTGTTGCAGTTTTTTATCTCACAGTAAAATTATAAGGCCCGTTACTATTGGATTTTAAATTAATTTCTTTTTTTTGTTGTTTTATATTCCAGGTCGGAGGACACACCCGCCTATTGCTGCTTAACCAATCGACTGTTATAAAACCCTTGAATTTGCGTGAATTGGATTTCTATCAAAACATTCCGCAGGATATACAGAAGTTTGTTCCCAAATATAAAGGTAAGCCTTTGATTCAATTTGCATTTATTTTCCTTTTTTTTTTTTGAATTTTCAAGCCTAGAAAAGAAAATACATATACATTGTTTACCACCCCCTACTCTACTTCGTTTCATCAACATTTCGTTCATGCTATTGAAATAAAGTTTATATGAAAAAGAAAAAAAAAAACAAAAATAAAATATATGACTTGTTTATCAGCAACATTGTATGTATGTATTTTAATGTTTGTCTCTATCATGTGTAAATAAAGTTTGAAAAAAAAAATACAAAGATTTATGAAAAAAAGCTAAACAACTGAAGAGAATATACAACAACAATACAAACATTTATATTTATGTCCGTACCAAAAAATTCATTCATTTTATCATTTATATAAAAATATATATATATTTATATAGTAACAATTCTACAGATAACATACAATCATCATCTCAGTAGTAGTCCCCCCTTACATTTTATGTAAAATGTAAATGTAATGTTTAAAAGCCAAAAACTAAAACAAAAAAAATACTATGAATCCCAACAATAGGTTATACGTTTAGAACACTACAAAGAATTGTATTTCTATTCTATTGCAAAAAAACAAAAACTATTTAAAATATTTTTTCGTAAAAGAAAACAAGCTTTCAACACTTTGAGGGGGGAAAAAGAACTATAAAAATAAAGAAATAAATATACCCAAACAAATAAATAATACAACAACACATCCACATCCCCCCAAAACTGTTGTGAAGTTTTTGCTGCAATCAATATTATTTTTTTATACTTCTTTCTTTCGTTTACTTTTAGTGAGCTCCTCCATACCCCCTTAACTAAATATATTCATACCGAAAAACCATGAAATTATAAACAAATACATTTTTTCCAACTAGTTTTGTTTTTACGTAAATCTAAGGAAATATCTGTGATAAAAATAAATTGTTTTATTATTATTAAATAAACAAAAGTGCAAAAAAAAACAAAGAAGACTGATGTTGTAAATTAACAAGTGCCACAAATTTTAATTATAAAACTATTTTTTATAACCATTTGTTGTATACATTTATATTTCTACATTTATACAAATATTTATTGAAGATGAAAACAAAAAAAAAAAGAGAAAAATAAAATACATAATAAAAATAAACTTAAAATCCAACCAACTAGCAAACATCCTTAAGCATCCCATCATAAACTGCTGCATTGCTTTTGCGAATACCTGGTCTTGGCAAAACTACAAAACATTTCAAGCTGTTGAAAAGAAAATTTCTCGAAACGCGGGCGTATAAACAAAGGGAGTGTACACAGTTTAGAAACGTTTTAGTTAAATTAGAAAAAAAAAAAAAAAAACAATTCTTTAAAGGGCATTGAATGATGAACATTTTCATCCGTCTTCTATCAAAGCTTTTCGAAGAGCAGGCAAATAATTGAATTACAATTTCGAATGGCGAAAATTTTAATTCAATTATTTGCCTGCTCTTCCAAAAGCTTTGATAGAAGACGGATGAAAATGTTCATTATTGTCTGTCATAGGAAGATATATAAAGACATTTAACCTACTTCTTCTGCGAGGGATTGTAGTTTTTCTCTCAGAAAAGTCCTCTCGGTCGGTCCTCCTGTTATGAAAAGGACACGGTAAAGAAAAACAGTTTTAGCTTGAGTTTATCCTTCAAAATATTCGTCGAAGACTCCATAATGTTAATTTTTAGCAACAGCATAGTATTCTGTTGAGCTGCTGTAGGGCTTTTAAATCTTAATATTTTTCCTAGGATGTTTGGTATTGAAAATGAAATATATCGGGTCCGTTCAGATTTTTTGAGGTGTTATTCCTTAATTTCCAACTAAATCAGCTGCTACATGATATTTGGGATTCTCAGTGGAAAGTTTAACTCCTTGCCAAAGTATCAGAGTAATTCCTGATTTTCGGTATTTTGCAGGTTTCTCACCCAATTTTCAACCAAATCAGATTTAATTTTCTCAGTGGGTAGAATTAAACAAAAAATATTTAATTCAGGTCCAATTTGTGGCTTAGCGCCATACAACGCTACCTCCGGATTTTCAATATTTTAGAAAATTTCGGTCTCAAATTCTAATCAAATCAGCTGTAACTTAATATTTTTAGTCTTATGTGGGTAAATTAACTTTTCGCAAAAAAAAAAATCAATGCAGGTCCGCTATTGGTATAGTGTTAGGGTCATTCCTAATTTTGGAGGTTCCGGCCCTAATTTACAACCAAATCAGCTGTGGTTTGACATTTCTGATTCTTCCTGGGTAGTCCTCACAGAAAATATTCAATGCCGGTCCACTTTTTTGTATAGCCCCCATATATTGGTACCTTCTGATTTTCGGTATTTTTGAAAATTTGGCAATTTTTTTTTTTAAATCAAATCAGTTGTAAGTTTGGAGATCAAATATATGCTTCGTTACGCACATGAAATATCTCTTCTCAGTATTGGTATGCAGGCTCACTCATCATCGCACAGTGGTCGCTGCCATTGGCCAAAATTCAAAAAATGAAAATCAGATATTTATTGTCAAATGTGTACATATGAACTCTTAAGAGGTTAAGCTTTTTAGAAAACATAATAATCTTGACTTCATTCTAACGGTACACTTCGAAATTAGCATCAAAAAAGAGAAAATGTAGTTAGTTGCTTTTTTCAGTGGGATCAGTAAAAAAAAAGAGTAAAAATAGATCTGTATTACAAAATTAAATACATTTTAAAATTACAAGTCTTGGCATTATTATTGAAAAGCAAGGTATTGACTTATTTTTAGTGCAATAATTTGTGTGTTTAGTAGTTGTGTATAATATAGACGATGTGAGTGTTCTGAGTGGCCTTTAAGATTAATTTTGAAAATAAAATTGGATTTCAGTTAAAGTTTTAATTGTTTTCCCCCCTGAATCCTCCAATGTGATATTTTTCACGCCATTAGTAATGGTCCTAAGATTCTAGAAGTGCTAAATTAACTTTCAGATTTTGTCAGATTTGTATGTTATGCCCAATATACTGAAGTGACTTCGCTCCAATTTTGTCAGTTCTATGGTGCTAGTAACATAGGATATGTTATTGTTGTTTGGGATTGATAAGGATATAATTGAGGGGTGTTTAATAATGTTGCCTGCATTGTCTTCTGGGTATAATATTAATGTCGAAAAATTTAAGGACTCTGCACAGGAAACGGCTAAAGAGTTAACAAATAGATATCCATGGCACTATCTTCCACCCGCAGCTAATAAAATGTTAATACATGCACCCGACATTATAAATTTGTCATTGTATCGATTGGAGAATTATAGGAGGTGGCCGTGGAGGCTAGAAACAAAGATATAAAAAAGTTTCGACTAAATCATACCCGAAAAAATTCTCGTGTTTCAACAAACACAGATCTTATTAACCGTCTTCTTCTGAGCTCTGACCCTTTTATAACGGGACAGCGAACGTTACCAATCAATAAAAAATCTATATTATTAAAATCTGCATTTGATTTACTTGAATAACACTGAAATTTATAAATATCCATTAGTAACTTTGATTTAATTTTACATTGAATTGTTTATTTTGTTTACAGAAAAATTGTCTATTTTGTTTACAAAAAAAATAATCAAATTTGGAATTGATTTGTATAAAAAATACCTCTATTTTTGAAGGTACCTTTACAGGGGGACTCTACTTAAAGGCGGGCCGTTCCAAATAATTTACAGTAAGACTATTTTTTAGCTCTTTAGAACGTAAAATGTCAAATAACAGAACAATCTAGTGTAGAAATGTGACCAAAATTGGGTAAATAACCCTTATTCGGGAGGTACGTTTTAAGGCGACCATGCCAAAACATGCATCGACCATATCCATTTTGTCACATTTTTTATTTTTATCCCATCAAGGTACCATAACCAAAGAATCATATTGATATCTGCACTGAAAGTATTTTTGGCCGCTGTTCCCATACGACGTCGACCACTGTGCATCGGTTAGTTGGATACAGGTTGACCTTACGTTTCACATGACAATTTCCGTCTTGCTCGTCCATCTCTCACAGATCCCGTCGACTGTACATGGCCAAACAAAGCTAAAACTGATTTATAATAATGAAGGAATTAAGAATTATAATTTTAATCGGTTGAGATATTATTTTGGGTCGATTTCAAATTGAAGCTATATTTACGGATTGAATTTATTATTTGATGTTTAGTGGTTGGCCAAGAGGGCGATGACTTTGATTTTTATACCCATATGGCTAGAGAGGGTATATATCACTTGATACGGCCAAAACGTGCCTCATCGCAATAAGGGTTTTTGGACCTAGGTCTCTTTGGACCAAATCCATTTCAGGACATTTGAAGTCGATCTAGCAAAGTCCGTCCGTCTGTTTGTCTGGCTGACTGGTACGCACTATAACTACTGAAGTGAGTATCCGATTTGATCCAAACTTGGGACATCGTAATATTATTGTCAAATTTAGATCGAGTTCGGATATGGACAACATCGGTACGCTCCTTCTGGTAACTCCCACATAAAATGTCAACTATTTCAAAGAAAATAATTTACTGCACAGAAAGAGAAAGGATAATCCGATTTTGCTCCAACTTTGCGAATCCTAATATTTTCATCAGTGCTGGGTCAGGAGCGAAAATTTACAATATCGGCTCACTCCATCAAGTACCTCCCTCACCAAGGGTTAGAATTTTGAATGATTATAACTCTTATAAAATGTGATGTTTGTATCCGATTGTCTTCAAATTACACACACCACAATATTTTTATTAAACCAAGGTCTGTTGTGAAGATGGAATATATCGGTCCATTCCTTCTGCTACCTCTCCCACAAAGGGTCAAAATTTTGAGTATCCATAAAGCTAATAAAACGCGAAAGTAACATCCGATACCATTCAGACTTGGTAAATCTCAATATTTCCATCAACACAAGGTCTGTTATAAAAATGATATTTACCTCCCCCTCATAGGGTTCAAGATTTTTGCAATACAAAACGCTCAAAGAAAGCGACATAAGCATCAAATTCTCTTCAAAATCCGAATATTTTGCTAACGCACCTCACCCATATTTATATGTAAGAAATTTATGATTACTCGTAAAGTTGGACATAAATATTTGATTTCCTTCAAATGAATACTTCGGTCCGCAATATCTGTTAGCCCACGCATATTTCCACATTTTCTAAAAATTTGTATAGGATGTAGTCGCTATAGTCTAAATCGGACACGTTGTAATATATCAGTCTTACGTTAGATACGAATTGGTCAATATTAGCCAACTGCTTCGGAACCCCTCCATAAAGGGTCAACAGTTTGAATAATCATAACTCAAGGCTGGGGGTATAAATCTGTCGGCAAACCCGCCTGATACTATTTTACTTGTTTCCTTATATTTTTGTATTTTTTTATTAATCAAAAAACTCTTCCCGGAAATGAAAATAAACTTGTTTTTTATTTTATCAAGTTCAACTTTTACCCTGACCACCATCTCCTCCAGTTACTGTGTACACTCCTATTTACAAAAAAAAAAAAAATACAATAACCAATCAATAGTTTTAGGTTGCTTTTACATGTAAGCAATTAAAAGAAACTGTGATTTCAAATTAATGGCAAAATTCTGTTTGTGAATTGCTTTTAATTGTTTTTTTTTTTATTAATGAGAGTGAGACAATTAAAATGGAATTCATGTGATTTCTTTTGATTTTACAGCTTGTTTTAATTGAACTGCTGAACCACCCCATCGACAACAGTTTCAATATAAAACAGCAAAATATCAAGTGTCTGTGTGTTTTTTTTATTTGATTTGTTTTACATGAAAATAGTTAAACAATAGTTTTGATCAAATGAATTCCGAAGAAGAAGGATATGTGTAAAAATATGAGAAGAGAAACGGGGTAAGTGCACAAATTAAAACAGTCCAGAGCACAAAAGAAATACGACATATTAAATCAGCCTACCAGAAGCAAATACTACCAAAACTCTCTAGGATAATTTAAGCCTTAAACAAAAAATAATTGTATTATTTTAAAAACAGCTAGGCCGGCTGCAAACGACCTACCCTTCACATGATTGTTGCTGCTGATAAGGCGTTGCTCTCTGATTCGGGGAGATTAGCTAACAGAGGAAATTCTATGGCTAAAGAAAAGGACGCCTTGGAAGCACAAAGGAAGTGGCGCTTGGTTGGCAAAAGAATAAAATGAAGCCGTTGCCGCCGCCCCCTGTCAACATTACCCCATGCAGAATGAAAGCGTAATATGTTGTAAAAAAACACAATATTTTTTTCTACTACTTCTCCCCCAACCAAAAGTACAAAAGAACAAACAATTTCTATCTATTATTGTTTCCTTGTATTCTCACACAATACAGAATGCATCGCAACGTCCGTCTCGTGTATAGTGGGTCGGTCGGTCGCTCGCTCGCTCGCTCAAATATATGCGTTCGCAAAACAAAACTCTGCTATCGTCCAACGTGTCGTCTGGCCACTTAGGGACCATCTCTCTCTCACTTGCAACACGAAGAACCATAGCAAAACTCCAAAACCAAACCAAATGATATCTCGCTCACCTCCTACCTATACCACTCCTCCTTCTCATCCAAATACAAACTTGTTGGGGTATGAGTGAAACGAGATTAAAACTAAGCCAAACAAAAATCCGAAACAAATACCTTAAGCGAAGTACAACGGGTTTGTATAATATTTGCATTTTTATTCAAATTTGATTATTATCATTATTTATTTTCTGAAATATTATTTATCAATTTTAGATATATACATAAGTATTAATTATACGATATTCGTATTTGTATGAATTTTATATAGCTATTGTATATTTTGTTCTAATAACAATTAAGATTTATAGGTGTGTGCCAAAAAAAAACGAAAACAAATAATTTTTGTTAAAAAAATTAAATCTGAAACGCGAAGGAATTTGATTCCAAGTTGTAAAAAACTTAAGCTCAAAACAAAATATTCAATTTACAACGAAGCCACTGGAAGTGTGTGTTAAGATTCTCCTTATTACTGGGTAGTCCAAACTGAATCAATTAATTTTTTTAATGAATTGTTTTCTTTAGAAATTTATTTGGATATAAAAATAAATAATTCGATCTACGTTTAGATATAGCCTCTTGATTTTTCGTATATTGCAGGTCTATGCCCCACTTTCGAACCAAATCAGGTATAATTTGATATTTCGCGTTCTCAGAGTATAGTTTTTCTTCTCGCAAAAACTTTCAAGGCAGATCCACTAGTTCAGTGTTTTTGAGGGCTTCGGTCACAATTTACAGATATAGCTTCTTTGTTTCGTATATTGCAGGTCTATGATCCACTTTCGAGACAAATCAGGAGCTTCTCACAAGAACTTTGAAGGCAGGTCCACTTTTTGGATTATGTGACGGTATCTCCTGAATATCAGTGTTTTTGATAGTTTAGGTCCCAATTTTCAATCAAATCAACTGTAATTTGACATTCCCGTTTGTCACTGGGATGTTTAATTCCTGACAAGGAATATTCCACGAAGGTTTACTTTTTTCGATTCTGCTATAGGCGTAAAATATAAGACTAGAATCTTCTTCACCGACTCCATGGATAAGTTAATCGATATTGGAAGATTCTATCAGGGAGGATTGTGCCGATCTATAATCCGTAAGCTTTCAGTAATGACACTTGTTTAAATACTACTAAACCCTGCTTGGATATATGTCGAGCTAACTGAACATTCCTACCTGACGGTCTCCGTTATGTCATAAATTCCGGCTGAAAACCTAATGTCTTATTTGACGCGGCATCTGTAGGAAGATGCCATCGATGTTGTTGCATTGGGTGCTGCCGATTGTTATAATTCACATTGTCCAGGCTTCAAGTTTCCCGTAGACATGAACTTCAATTTCAATCGAACCTGACAAATCTGGTATCAATTCCAATCAGACGGTCTCCGTTATGTCGTAAATTCCGGGAGGAATTCAAAGGTCTTTTTTGACGTGGCATCTGTAGAAATATGCCATCGATTTTGTTGCTTTGGGTGCTGACGATTGTTATGATCCACATTGTCCAGGCTTCAAGTTTCCCGCAGACATGAACTTCAATCGAATCTCACAAATCTGAAGAACAAATGTCTTATTTGACTCTGCATCTGTACATCAAAGCCAAATTCGTTTTCCCATTCTCTGACCCCTCAATTACTGTGTTTTATAATATCTTGTTGATTCCATTGATTTTAATTCCGTCAATATTCTTTAGCCTTAAATGCCTTTATCTGTGTCGTAGCGTATAAGTGTGAATATTTTCTGTAAGAATTCCCGCCTTTTTTGATTATCTTGTGATGATCGGTGTAAACAATCATGATACTATCGATTTGATTCCTTCTTCGATATATTTAAAATCGATTATTCCTTATTAAATGGCATACACACCAACGAACAAGTTTGACAGTTATAGTTATTTCATTAATTAAAAGCAATCGACCTAAATTCAATCGTTTGCAAAGTAAAAAATATTTTAAAATAGGAATATTTTTGTAATTAACGTATTATACAATATTCTTTTCAAAATTTTAATATTTAACTAAATAAGTATTATTATTTTTTTTTTATAATTTTGTAATTGGCTTTAAACATTATTTGAAATTTTCATTTGTAAGGGAATTCATTAAATTTATTATCATTCATGGGGACAGCATTTCAAAAGCTTTCATTGCGAAGCCAAAAAAAAACTTCTCATCTGAAAGCGATGTGTGTGTGCTCAAATTCATTCATGCCTTTAACTCTTTAAATATTTTGTTCACAAAACATTTCTTACTTCAACGGGTCTTGTCCCCCTTATGCGTGTGTCTTAATAAACATTAATAATTCTCATTTGATTTAGTTGTATTTTTACTGAAATACCAAATCACAGCATTAAGGCGATTTTCAAAAAAAAAAAAATCAAATATAAAAAAAGATCTGTCTATATATAATTTTATTAACTTCGTTACAATTTAATCTATATTTTACTAATATCTTGTTTGAAATGTAAAAAATGTATTTACAGGCGTTATGCAGGCCACCACCATGGGAGGTTGTAAATTGGAGAAACGTTATTCGCCCAGTTTCCGTGAAGAACCCCAACGCAAGATGAGCGCCTCGAAACGTAAACGGGATGAAATTCTAAGGTAAGGTTTAAGTTTTTTGGCAATTATTTTTGCCAACATTGTTATTGTTTTAGTCGGGAAACAGATGCCGAAAAATGGTCTCAATAGAAAATAGAGAAAGGTGGGGAATATTTTAAACTATTTCATTCCTATCTCAGTTTTCTTATGTATGCAACTGTATGCTTGGTCATCTGTCTCCCGAATAATTTCCCAAAAGATCATTTTTAAAATATTTTCAATTTTTTAGATATTTTGTGGTTATGTTTGTGTGATGTGAAGAGAGGGAGAGTAATTGAGAAAAAATGAATAAAATATTGGGTATGAAGCCAAATCAATTTACTTTTTTTGTCTTATATATTTGAAATGAATTGTATATAAATGTGCGGTTGAAAAAAAAGTTATCGAAATTTCAAAAAACTACACCTGCCCTATAGCCGAAAAGAGTAATATTTGCTAATTTATAGGAAAATTTATAAAAAAAACATACACATTTGAAACTGATAAAGAAATAAAGCATTTGGATGGATAGTGGTATCTGAATCGGATCAGGTGCGATCAGGTTCGAGGTTCACACACAAAGAGTTTTACCACAGAAAAAACTGAAGATTTCTGAACGAGCGGGCCAAGACATAACATCATTGTCTACCCCCTTTCTTCTTACCTCAGTTTTTCTTTTGGAAAAATGTCCCTGTCTAAAACGCGTTTCTAAAAGAAAAAATTGGTTATAGGGTGTGGTGTATTTTTTAAGAAAAACAAAAAACAAAATTTCTCTGCTACTTATTTTAGGGTCCAAAAGGCCGTGTTCAACCTTAGCAAAGAAATGAAAAAATCGAAACTGGTTGACAAAATCTAGTTTTAATGGCCCAGATCACCTACAAAGCCCCCCCAAACCAAACAAATCGCAAAATAATCCAAACCAAAGTCTAATGTTCCTTTGGAAAACAACGAACCACTAGAAGGGTTTTTATGCCAACAATATTTCTTAGAAACCAAAGAATCTTATCGTTTAACACTCTTCAATTTCTCTCTCTCAAATTACAGAATGAAAGTTCACAAGAATGGTAATGCCGCCGATGTTATCAAAAGTATATCACAATTGGACAATTCCAACAAGCAATGTAAGTTAGAGGAGACATCAACGTAAATTGGTATTTTTTTTAATTGAATCTTTTCTCCACCATAGATTTTCTTATGTTGGAGAATATAACATCTCAATTCCGCAATCCATGCATCTTGGACCTGAAAATGGGTACACGTCAACATGGCGATGATGCTTCGGCCGAAAAACGTTCCAAACAAATGGCCAAATGTGCGGCCAGCACATCAGCCTCGTTGGGTGTACGTTTGTGTGGCATGCAAACCTATCAGGTACATTTGGACCAGTATGCCAAACGTGACAAATACTGGGGTCGTGAATTGAATGAGAGTGGCTTTAAACAGGCTCTGCATGATTTCTTCTATAACGGCTATCGTTTGCGTACCAGAGTTATACACAAAATTGTACAACGTCTATTGCAATTGAGACGGGTGATTGAGAAACAGTCCAGTTATAGATTTTACTCCTGGTAAGTTGAAAAGCAGCAATCTCTTTCAGAGAACAAATATTAATCCATTTAAATTTTGCCTTCCCCAGCTCCCTTCTAATTGTCTACGAGGGCTATGAGGATAATCCCATGTTGCAGCCAATGGATTTTGATGATTGGGCCACACCCTCAACACCCAAGAAACCAACCAAGAAATCTAATACCTTCGATTATCATCCAGACAACAGTATTGATGATGATGACGATGATATTGAGGATGAGGTGGACCACGACGAAGAGGAGGAAGGTCATGAGGGTGGCGATGAATTGGAATTGCATGATACCGATGAAGATTTACATTTGGTTGCAGCCGACAGTGGCAATGCCTCGGCCACCAATAGCAGCACAGGTGGCGAACAGTGTTGCTATGATGCGGATGCCTCAAACGATTCAACCACAACCAATGACATGAATCTCAGAACCCGCATAAAACACTTACACAACAGTTCAAGGGCCTCACCATCGACCCCAGTGTCGTCCTCAGTGACCGGTAGTGGCTCCAGCACAGCAACAACGGCGGTGGCAACAGCAGCATCGCGTGCCTTTGACAAGCACAACCTATCATCATCCTCCGATGAACATGAGGAGGATAACCACAACAATACTTTGATGATGAATGACAGTGATAGTAGATCTATGCCACCACCCCCACCATTAGCCGGTTCTAATGTGGGCCTTTGCAAATCTTCGGAATTAATAAGGCCATCAGCTTCATCAACCCCCAATACACCTGCACCATTCATTCCCATATCCGAAGAAACAGTATTCCTAGATCCTGAACCGCCAATGCCTAGCATAGCCACATCATCGCCGCATTCGGGTGATTCTTGGATGAATTACAGCAGCAATAGCAGCGATGATTTTTCTGGTTTATCGGAACAAATCAAGGCTGTGACGAGTGGCCGTCAAACAGGCAATAACAGTTCGGATGAGGCATCATCGGATTATGACAGCAGCATCATCAGTCAAACGGAGGTAATGCTTAAACGTTACAAATCCCAGCAGGATGCATTTGAGGCAGCGGCCGCTGCTGCAGCAGCAGTCAATACCCCACCTCTGACACCCAAGCCCGTTATGCGCAAAAAGCACAAGAATTCCCCCTTGGCCTGTAATACAGTCAATGCATCGCCAGCATCCTCGACCACATCTTCATTGAAATCGGTTAAGGGCGGTGTTAAACGTTTGCGCTGCAAAGACGATGATGATGACGACGACGATGATAATGACGTTGCATACAAAGATGATGCTAGTGGTGTCCAGATGGAGGAAACAATTGTTAACAAATCTTCGCAAGCCAAGAAATCCACCAATAATTCTAAAATAGTATCCTCATCGTCGACGCCGGTTTCCATTATGAATTCACCAGCCAAGACGACAACCCAGCAAATACCTGCCTCAGCAATGGAGCATGCACAAATAAAGTCAAGCCTAGGACAGGCAATGATGGATACAACAGCCGTGAACGCAACACCCACAGCCTCTGCATCCGATACTAATTCCATGACATCCACACCAGCCACAACGCCCACAGGACCCTCTTTGCCCCCTCCACTTCATCATAATCATGGCCAGAAACAACAACAGCCGCCACAGTCACAAAGGGATGTGCCCATTAAACAATTGCCCAAAAAGTCCACACACAGAAAATTCCTGCAACATGTTTCCAAGTCCTTGGACATTGATACTCCGCCAGCCGCCTGCGATGATATGCACTGTGTGGTGGATGTGCGCCTAATTGATTTTGCCCATACTGCATTTGTGCCACGCAATGGTTCCGCACTCTTCCCAACACCGCCCACCACCATACATCATGGACCAGATAGTGGTTTCCTCACCGGGCTAGACAGTTTAAATCGTTTACTAACGGAAATTCTCAACGAAGAGGTTATGTGTTAAACAAACGGCCACCCGAATAGGCTAGGGAAAAGAAAGAAAATACAATTCTTCAATGAGGTATTAACTGAAAGCTTTATAACACAGAAACAAATACAAATGAAAGAAACAAGGAAATAGCTACTTCATAGAAAAAACAAGAAACAAAAAACATACATACATGTATCTTATATAAGAATATACATACATACACACACAGAGATAGAAAGTGGTGATTTCCTTAAGAAAGAAAGAAAAACCCCCAAAAGAAAGTTTTTTTTTAAATTCTCGATTTTGATTTTCTCCTGCCATGGGGAAAATTGCAGGTTTAATCATTGATTTTGTTCAAAAACTAAACATTATAAAGCACAGAGATCCCTACCATCACCAACCACCACTATCAACATTTTAAGGTTAATTTAAGGTTAGGGTTGATTGATCCACATTGTGTAAATTATAAATCATTTTACATACAACAACAACAACAAAAACACATCTTTAGTAAAAAAAAAATAAATACCCTCCTATTATCCATCCCTGTCTAAAACAACAAATGCATTAATTAAACAAAACAAAAGTGTAAACAAAAAACAAACTTAAGAGTGAAATCATGCCAATGTGATACTGTTCAAACAAATTGAAAATGAATACTGAAAACTGATGAAACAACAACAACAAATACTAATAATAATAATAATTATAATATTGAAATAATAACTCCCAAGTAATTTTTTTATTTTAAAAATAATAATATTGTTAAATTAAGACTTATTACATATTTTTTAAAGCATAAGATTTTGAAAATAAAACCATACAAAAATATTTTTTAACAAAAAACACAAAAAGATAACAAAAGAAAAAACAACTTGGATATATTTGATGATCTCTGTCTAACTTTCTCTCTCTCTCCCTCTCATTATTTATCTCCCAAAGAAAATATTTCCTTGAGTTTAGAAAGTTATGTTTTCGCTCATCCTACTACCATTACTTTTAACTCTCTATTTAGAGTTCCTACTTTTTTTGTTCTCCTTTCCCCCATTTGATTATGTTCTTTCCCCGAAACATGGATAAAATGCATTGACAAGAACTATGTTTTTTTTTATTTCTTAATATTGTAAATTATTATTACTACTACAACAACAAATACTACTATTACTACTACTACTACTACTTTTACTATTGTTAATAGAACCTGACAACGATTCTTGACAAAAGTATTTTGTTTGTTACCTGACTTGTACCAATTAAACCAAATGAAATAAAAACACAAAATAATTACTTGTATAAAACTGGACATTTCCTAAAAACATAAAAACAAGCAACTTGCATAAATGTTTTTTTAAACATTTGAAACAATATGTTTATAAGAAAAATGTGGATACATGTTTTATCTAAAGCTAATAAAATGTGAATAAAATTCTCGAAAAATAAAACACGTTTTGTGAGGTTAGGTATCGATTCAAATGAAAGGGAACTGTTGGACGTTTGGATGATTCCTGAAAAGGCTGCAGCTAATGGGGTAATCCTTCGTTGTCATTCCTTCGTTCGTATAATGATATGCATTTACTAAAGAAATCAGTCTTCTTGAACAAAAGTTGAGCTCCGAAGGTTGAGGATTTGGAATGTGAGAATTTGGTATATAATTTCTTGGAAGATGTGAAGAAAGATTTGATTTCTAAAGCTAATAACATGTGAATAAAATTCTCGAAAGATAAAACACGTTTTGTGAGGTTAGGTTCATATTCAAATGAAGAGAGAACTGTTGGACATTTGAATGATTTCTGAATAGGCTTCAGCTGATAGGGTAATCTTTTCTTATCTTATAGGGGTGTAATTATATGCATTTACTAAATAAATCCGTCTTCTTGAACAAAAATTGAGCTCCGAAGGTCGAGGCTTTCTTCACAACTGCGGGAAAATTGGAATGTGAGAAGTTAATTTCTTGAAAGATATAAAGATTTGGTTTCAAGGTTTGTTCTTTAGAGCATCCTAAAAAAGAATGCTATCCTATCAGATTTCAATGCGTTTTTCTGATAAAAAGAAATTGAAAGGAGAAGTTCAGAATATGGAATAAATCGTAAATATTTGCGAGAGCTTATTGGTTAGATCCCAGTGAACAATAAACAGTTGGAGCTATAGGACACTGAGATTAGCCAATGCAAAAAATGCGAAATATTGAAAAATTGGAAGAACCTTACAAAATACAACTTCCTTCGGCTACGTATATTAAATATAATTTTGTATAAGGCATGAATTTTCAAAGGGACACAAGTGATGATCACATAAAAGAGGTGCTAGGCTTGGAAAAATATCTCTTTTCCAAGCCCCGAGATATGTTTGGAAAACACGATATTAAATATAATTTTGTATAAGACAAGAATATTCAAAGGGACACAAGTGATGGTCCAAAAAAAGTGGTGCTAAGCTAGGGAAAATATCACTTTTCCACTCTTTGTTAAAGCCCCGAGATATGTTAGGAAAACATGTAAATATATTCTTCAAATAGGGAGGTGTATAACTGGTTTACTGCCTTCCAGCATTTTAACTTGCTCTTCCTCTCTTTGTAGATGAATGGGTACTGCTACTAATATCCACTTTTATAGAAGATAGTTTACCCGCATCCGAATCGTACCAGAAAGCTGTTGAATTTTTTGTGATTCTTTAATGTTTTAAGACCTCAAAGATTTTTTGTCCGCAAAGGCATATCAGGCGACAAAAAGGATAATAGGTTTCTTGTATTCCCTGCATTTAACGGAGACAGGAAAAAGTGGTATTTCGATGCCCTCTAGCGCCTCTAGTTACCGCTCAAAATATTGTGTGTGTGCTTTAACTGTTTTTGTCTGCAGTCAGCAGGCTGCCTTGCCCTTTGGAGTTTGAGGCTGGATTTTGCCCCTCAGATACATCATCGTTATCCCTAAGGATTTTGTAGCCGCTTGTCCCCTTTCAAGTGGCCATAAGTGCCACCCTGTTGCTGCTCAAAAGATTATGGATGTCTTTGCTTTCAGACTAGCTCTTGTTGTTCCTCAGAAGGTTTTAAGACCTCAAAGATTTATCGTCCGCCAAGTCATACCAGTCTAGGCGAGAAGAAGAATAGGCCCCTTGTATTCCCTGCATTCAACAGAGATAGGAAAAAGAGGTATCTCCATAGTTGACATTGTTCCTCAAAAGCTGTAACTGTCTTTGCCTGTTAGCAGGCTGCCTTGCCCTTCAGAGAGACTGCTGCTGTTGTTGTTGTTCCTCAGAAGGTTTTAAGACCTCAAAGATTTATCGTCCGCCAAGTCATACCAGTCTAGGCGAGAAGAAGAATAGGCCCCTTGTATTCCCTGCATTCAACAGAGATAGGAAAAAGAGGTATCTCCATAGTTGACATTGTTCCTCAAAAGCTGTAACTGTCTTTGCCTGTTAGCAGGCTGCCTTGCCCTTCAGATAGACTGCTGCTGTTCCTTAACTGATTGATGCTGTCTTCGTCCTTAGTAGATTCAGTAGGTTCTCATGAGTTTGAGGCTGTATTTGCCCCTCTTGTACATCATCGTTATCCCTAAGGAGTTTGCAAATGATTTTCCCATTTCAAGTGGCATTAAGTGTCCCTTTTGGAATTTGTCCCCTTTCTGGTGGCTGTATTTTCCCCTCAGGTACATCATCGTTATCCCTAAGGAGTTTGTAGCTGTTTCCCCCTTTCGGGTGGCATAGGTAACAATAAGTGTCCCTCCTATTGCTGCTCAAGAGATTACAACTGTCTTGGCCTTCAGACTTTCTCTTCTGTTCCTCAGGAAGTTTAAATTGTCTTTGTCCCCTCATGTACGTTAGCATTACTCAATAGGAATTTGTCATTTCCCCTTTCTGGGGGCATATGTGACAATAATTGTCCCGACTTGGACTTGGACTGTCTAATTTTTTCGTTGCAGACATTAAGATGATTTAAAATATATATGGCTCGTCTTCATAACGCCTTTGAGATGGATGTCTTTGTCCGTTAGCATGCTGGTTGCGTTTATAACTCGCTGGTAGCCCCCGTTGCCGCTTAAGAGATTGTGGCTATCTTACCATTCCGACAGAGTCTTGCTGTTCCTCAAGAAGCTTTTCCTCGGGCGCCCCATTGACAAGGAGCTGGTAGCTGTTTTTGTCCTTCCGATGGCTATGATTGCCCCTCAGAAGCCCTTAAATGTATTTTTTTTAATTATTTCAGCATTATGATGCTCTGACTCATATGGCTCCACTTCAGGACGCCCCAGGTAATATTAAAGAAAGTATAACATTTTATAAACATATTGTTTCACTTGTCTCATAAATTAATAATCATATACATACAAACGTTTTTTAAGCGTTTTGCAACACACATAGACATGACATTACAAGGAACGTGACCTTATCAATTGTGAGTATACCTCATGATAGGCATCCTAAAATTGCTATATATATACAAATATTAAAAACAAATCTTTGTTTAAAATAAAATACAAAGTAATTTGCTAACATTTGGATCATAAAAAATAGGCAAACTAAGACAAACTATGAAAAATAATAACAGAAAATTAATTCCAAGGACTTAAAATGGAAAAAAAAAAAAAAACAAATAATTGGAATACTATAAAATTCAATATATTTTGTATTCGAAAATCATGTAAAGTTATATGGAAAAATAACACATTACACATAATTGGCCTCAGACCTCCTTGAGCCAGATTCAGTAACAGAAATTGATTTTTATTTTTTATAGAACTGTGTGAAAATCTAGCTAAAAAAATTCTGTTTCTGTTTCAAATTAATTGTAGTCTACATATTGGGAATTTGACAAAAACAAGAAAATTATTTTAAATATTCTATTGAATTAGGACACTTTGTGAAAATGCTTCCATACATAATTAGAATAAAATTTGAGAATATAACATAAAAATTTGCTAAATTAATAGGCACTGATTTTCTACTAAGAAGAGCAAACACAAAATGTTTATTCACATTGATGATTAAAAAAACAAACTAGAATTGGTTACTTATAAAATTAGAATGGCATATTGTGAACTCAAAAAGAAACATGTTTAAGGAGATTTGTAAAAATTAATAAAAAAAATGGTTCTTATTTGAGTTTGTAACGTAAATTAAAATTAGCAATTGTTTTGGCCAATTTCAAACAAAAATATATCTTAAAATTTAATTATTTACATTTTTTTTTTTTTTTGGACTGTCAAGCGAGCTCTCCTATGTTTGGAGTACAAACTGGCTTTTTGTATCCTGAGGATCGCCAATTCTGCTCTCCACAATTTTGTGAAAAAAGTTCTCCTAATATTTGAGTTTAAACATTAAAGCAATTTATGTATGAAAAAAAATACAAAATGTACAGCGTGAGATAAGAAAACTGCAACAAAGTCAAACGTCATCATTTTTTTCTTAAATTTTATTGAATGAAAGCAAACAATGTCGGAAATCGCATCATTTTTTAAAATAAGTTTAGATTTGTTCGAATTGGTCACCTTTGGCACAAATTATGGCCAATGAAACCGTCATACGCTGCCACGATTGTTTTCTTTGTTACAAATTAAATAATTTTAACAGCTGTCAAACAAGTGGCTTAGAAATGGCAGCAGCCTGAATTTTCATCTCACCCTGTATTTTCGAAAAAAAAATATTCCATTATTTTCCATTGGGCAAAAAATACTACATAAAGACACAAGATATTCAGTCACATACATTAATACCCATTTGCAATACACCTAAGGCCTCGTTTACATTGAAGCCCTATTATTGAAATAACACTCATCTGTTTGACCAATACTTTCATTTAATAATTGTCAAATAAATCATGATAGATTTGGGTGTTATATCTATAAAGGATTTTAATGTAAACATGCCTTAAGAAAACACAACAACTTATTTTAAACATAAATATTTTAAAAGTATTTTACTTTCTCAAGAAATATAATTTTTTTCTCTTTTTTTGTACTAAATAATATATCTTATTATAAATATTAATTTTAAATAATATCTAAAATATATACTATATATTGTATTTTAATAAAGAAAAAATCAAATTTAAAACATTTTTCGTTTTTATAAGCACATAGAATAATATCACAATTGAAAAAAAAAAATATAAAAAAATAAATGAAACAAAAATACATAACATGATAACCCTCCTCCCTCGATCCTCCAACAAAAAATAAACAATACATTTAAAACAAATCTTAAAAATACATATATGTATGTGTAGTGGTTAAAACAGAAGACATAATAAATTAAATAAAAATTGAATTTTGAAAGAACATTTAACAAAAAATTACAAAATAATTATAAATTAAATGCAATAAAACTATACCTACATGTTTCAAAATAAAACTTAAAAATGTGTTTCTTTTTTTCGATAATAGGATAAAAAAGGCTATTGGACTGCTCCAAAAACTTGCAACTTCTTATTGAAAACTTGAAAAAAGAAACTATTAAAATTCATAGGCGAATTGGAGCGCAATGAGGTCAAGTATACATAAACGGCGAGATAAAAAAACTCCAACAAAGTCAAACGCCATAATTATTACATTTTTTTTTTTTTAATTCTATGGAATGAAAGCAAAAATGTCGGAAATAGCATTAAATTTTAGAACATATTTAAATTTTGTTCGAATTGGTCACCTTTGGCACGAATTATGACCAATGAAACATACGCTGACCGTATGTTGCTCTGCGGACAAAGGTGTGCGACCAAAATGTTTGCGTGCCCAAGACTTTAATATACCCTCCAGAATATTTTCGCGATAACATTCGGCAGTTATTTACTACTTCCGGCCAATCGAAGCAAATCTTTAGCTCTTTTGAGTCTATTTTTTTTCTGTTGCGGTGTAAGTTCTTGCACCTTTTGGAAATTCAAAGGCTTTACCCCGAGCTCATTTTTCAATGTTTGTCGAATGGAATATTGCGATATGTTCAGCTCACGAGCCATTTTTCGGCCACTGCGCCGCGGGTTTCGATCAATTTTTTTCTTTACTTTTCGAACCATTTCTGCTGATGTTGGTGTTTTCTTCCGTCCTCCGTCCACTTCCATGAGCTGGCACTGGCGTAATTTAAACAGCGGGGTTCTGACAGCAGTCTGAAGTTGGTTGTAGTTTTTTTCATCTCACCCTGTACATTAACAATCAAAAGAAAATCCAAAAAGTTGTAGAAAAACTAATATGGGGACAATTTATATTAAAAACAAATATTCATTCATTTTCGTAAGTGCCTGCAATTAGGATTTTTTTTTTTTCATTTCATGCATCATTCCATCCATCCTCTAGTTTTCGTTCTTGAGGAGTTGCTGGTATTTCATGTATTTTAGTTCCAACTGCTATAAAAATCAAGGAAGTAGCTTTGAGAGCGAAAAAACAGTTCATATGCCAATAGGAACATGATAGAATTCTTGTTTAAAAAACATCGATTAACGGTTACTTTAGCTGCCGGCCCCCGTATATCGATTGCAATATTTATACTATCGATACTGCCATCGGTTGTTTGACAGCTCTAATTTCTTGTGTTTCATTGGTGTGCAGTTAAAAAAGGTAATTTTAAGTTTTTTTGCGAATAATCTTAGAAAAAAGGTGTGCATACGGAAAACAAAATAAATTTCAATACTTTTATTCTCAACAGTGTAAAAATATATGAAATTATTTGCATAGATCTCTTGAAATAAACCAGAGATTTAGCAAACTTACATAACCCCCTATACAAAACCAACGTCAATGTAGAATTGACACTGCTTAGCACAAATAAACAATAACCAATTGCTATTCCATTTCATATTTCCAGCAACATGGGTGGTCACGGACATGGACATGGTGCACCATACAAGGTACCAGATGCCAATATCTATAAAGTGGAAGATGTCCCCAAATTGGTGGAAGTAAGAGAAGCATTGGCCCGCCAGGGTCTTAAGGATCCTTGGTTGCGGTAAGTATTATTTGGAATCTTAGAGAATATATAAGTAAATTGTGTACCTTGCTTTTTTCAGCAATGAAGTCTGGCGTTACAATGCCAAAGAATTCGGTACACATGCCTCTCGCTTGAGAACCTTCATGTTGCGCGGTTTCGTCTTGGGTTTGGGCTTGACTGCCGCTACCGTTGCCCTGGAAACAGTCTTTGGCGGTGACGATCATCACGGCCATGGACACGGTGAAGAGGGCCATCATTAGTGTACTAGTAAATATTAATTTGTACAGAATTTAAGTTAAATTTGTTCGCTATTAAATAAATTGTTCGCCGGAAATGTGCACGAAATTGGAAGCAATTGCAAGGTGGAATAAAGTAATTGTGTTTCGAACTGAAATGGAAACTTCACCTCGGGTAATCCTTGGGATCTGTTTGCATAAATATTCCACATTATATGAAAATCCGAAGTTCCTTAAATACATTTGTATTCTTTTTATTGTTTCACGAGCAGTGAAGGCCTTGGGGTCCTGATCCCTGCGACATATTAGTAATTTTACAACGGATTTACATTTTCAGTTCCACTCCATATTCCCCAAATAAAGGAGGTTAACCTGCAAATACCACTAATCTAAACATGTGAACATTTCCTAGTTTTGTCGAAGATGTGTGCCTAGAACACTTGAAACAATCGATGTCTAGTACGCCTACACAACAATCTTTGAGGGTGGTGCCTATGGGATACCCCATTGTTGGCACTGGAAAAATCTACCCCAACGAATTAGCCTGTAATTTTTCTGTTGATGTAGAATTACTCTGGTTGTGGTATTTAAATTTGGTAGGTACTGTGATTATATTCTATTGCCTGGCATATTACAAACGTATGCATGAGGACAGCATTCATTATAAACTCTCAAAATATTATTTGTTTATAGATTTTATTTGGAAAAAATTGATATCGGGTGCTTACAGTGGAAAAAGTGGGAAATTTGGGGATGGAATTACAAATATTATTTAATCCTAAAAATAAACAAAACAGATTTTACGTTGAACGTGGTTTCAGCTCATCAAAACATGATCTTAAAAATATTTGAGGTTTCTTGGCAGGATTAAAGTATTCATGTCCCTTGGACCAATCATAGCCGACGGCGTAAGCAAAGATATGACCCGAAGCATTGAAACCACATTTTGTTATTGATTGATCCATGGTCTCGGAAGACTTAAGTTTGGTACGTGCATCCTTGTCCCAGAAACTGAAGGTGCCATCAGAGCCAACAGTTACCAAGGTGCCATGTACGGGATGGAAAGATATGTCATTTACAGCATAGATGTCTTGATAACCGGCTGTGCCCGAAGAACGGTGACACTTGAAGGTAAAGTTGTCCTTTGGATTTACCGGTTGTACATACTGGATGGCAACACGTCCCTCAATGCTGCCCAAGGCATAACCTACAATAATGTTTTAGTAAATGACAATTTTCAATCACAAATTAATTTGATTACATACCTGTTGGCTTCTTATTCTTATCCCGGAAAATGGCAATGGTCCTGTGTTGATATTTCAAGGGACTTTCCTGGCGTTTAAATTCGGTGGGGCTATTTTCCAAGGAATAAACAATCAAGCCCCTACCGGCTGTGCCCACCACGGCCATGGGAAAATCTACATCAGCACAATAGCAACGTTCTGGCAAATTTATGGCCATTATGGGATTTGGTGTTCTTGTGTCCCAGAATTTTAAAGTCTTGTCCCAGGAGCCGGTCATGAGGCAAGTATAATTTGTGCCTTTTACCCAGTGACAAACTTTTACCGGTCCATCATGGGCGGCAACTTGCATCTGTTGATCTGATGCCAAATCCCAAACTTTGACCTGTTTTTCACTGGCAATAAATACCTTGGTACCATCATCCGCCCAGCTAACATCCAACACCGGACCGCCCATGGTCTTCATTGACTTGGGCACAGTCTTGCCGGTCTGCTCCACCTCCCAGCATCGTACACTACAATCCCAACTTCCAGCTATAAGGAAATTTTGTTGCAATGTTGCTGGACTGAATTCTAGTGCTGAGACAGAATCTTCTGGAGGCGAAGCCACTTCGAAATCGTTCATACGATTCGTAGAGGTGGTTGTTGCAGCAGAACCAAAGGCCGATGTTGTGCCTCCTAATGTTGATTGGCCGAACATATTGTTGCACGCGGTTTATTGTATTCCCTCAAAATTTTCGCAATGATGCCTTGAGAAAAAACTAGACTTATGCAGCGGCTACGTTCCAAAATGAACTTTTGTTCAATTTTTTTAGTTTATTTTGTTTCATTATTCATTTTGTTCCATGTGCTTCGTTTCGTTTCTTGAATATACTACGCAGGGTTGCCAGTATGTTACAAAATCGCCATTATTAAAATTTGATTTATAACTTAGTGTTTACACTAAACCACAATATTATATTATATATACAAATAACGTAATAATATTATATATATAAATAACATGGAGTTTACACAGAAAATATTGTCTCCAATTGCAATTATATGTTACTCTTGATTTTGGTAATCATTTTGATAATAATAAAAAAATTATGTGGGTTCTGGTACGAAATATTTCCTAAAGTATTATTTTACAGGTTCTGCGACAGAGCTTTCATTAAAAATAATGTAATTTAACATAAGAAAAAGAACAAACATAAAATCGAGAGGCAAATAAATACATTTTTAAAACTTATTCTCGTGGCAAAATCAAATATGGCAGTTCTTTTTCTAAATAAAATTTGTCATAGAAGTTATTTTTAAAATAACTTCTGGGGAGAATATCCCAGACAAAAAACAAGGGAACTGATGAGGATTGGTGGCTCTTTCCGAAACCTAGGTATTCCCTGCCTTTCCCCCTGGTAAACATTACCATCGTTCTCCACTAATAAACAAACATTGTTTTTATAAAAACAACAAAAAAGGGGTAAAGCCTGAACATTTTGCAACAACAAAATACTACGGTATCCCGAACAAACAAGCCACACTGTTCTAAAATTTATTTTTATATCTTGAATAGTTCCATACAGCGAGCACCATAATTTAAAATAAATAATAATTTCTTATCTTCGGCATTCCGTGGTGTGTGAAAACAATTTTTTTTATCCGAGGAAGATACATTTTAATAATTTTTTCTTCTACAAATGTAGATGTCATAACTTTAATCCTTAAACAAGCCTTTTTCGTACTGATAGTTGTTGTGTAGTCCTCGAATGTTAGTTATGTTAGTCTTTAAGGATTAATAAACCAGTGTAAATAGTTGGAACTTGCTGAAAAACTGTCAAAAATGTTTGACATATGGATTATGTACTTAAACTGACAATCATGGTAGAAGAATATAGGTAGACGCGTCGACACAGCTGCTGGGACAATGAATGAATGAATGAATATGTTGAATAAAAAATTATTTAAATTTGTAAAAATTGTTGAAAAAATCGACTTATAATGGCCTCAGAATGACGTAGTATAAGAAAACATATAAAAATCTACTTATATTTCAAAAAACATTTAAAATTTGTTGACATATCAATGCTCCCAAGCGTTGATGCATCTACCTGTATTCTTCTGCCATGCTGACAATTAAGCTGAAAATTTTCTATAATTAATTAAATATCAATTCGACTGAAAAGCGCGATCTGATTCTTCGCCAGGGTTATATTAAAATCAATAAGGCGCGAAATTTAATCTTTCCATAATCTAGTCTCAATAACCTTATTTGACTGATTTATTAATTTCGAAGAACCTCAAATAATAAAAATTAATATATATGGTCTGCATGGTAGATTTAAGAAGGTAAAGCTATGCAATTATATGTTTTCAATTTTTCAAAATTGTTCATTTGACAACATATCATTGTTAAAATGTAAATGTATCCGTTGTACACACACAAGTCAGAGATGGGAACCTGTTTTCTATGCCAGGAAATTTGACAATGTAAATTACAAAAGATGCAGAGATGGGTATGCCTATTGGAAATGACTTTACCTTTTTAATTTTGCCAGGAAGAAGTACAAAATATAATTTTGACAATTCAATAGCATGGAATTACCTTTTTGATACAACAATGCGCATTCTATGTCACCTATAAACACTAAGTTTGTAACGTGCTCCAGTTATCAGACGATTTTTCATGATTCATTTCTATAAACCATGACTCAGCAATGACCACGATATGATAAATAAATGTCATGTTTCCTTTTACTCATTTAATCACTACATAAAGTGATGAAATTATGCGTCAAATAGTGCCCGGCATTGACGAAATTTATTTTGGTATGGTGAAAGTAAAGTACAAACCATAGTAAAAGAATACAGGTAGTCGCAACGATACAGCTGTTGTGACAATGAACTGTCAAATCAATTTTGAAACGGAAAACTTTGAATGAAAAAATATTGGAATTCGATAAAATTTTGAAAAAAGCATATCATAACAACCTTGGATTGGCTATACGACGCCAAAACATTTAAAAATCTACTTATTTTTGATAAAAACATCTAAAAAAATGACATATCGATGTATACTTCTACCATGACAAGTAGTCGCAACGACACAGCTGTTGTGACAATGAACTGTCAAATCAATTTTGAAATTGAAAACTTTGAGTGAAAAAATATTGGAATTCGATACATTTTTTTTTTAAAAAGCATAACATAACAATCTTAGATTGGCGTCGTATAAAAAAAAATAAACAAATAATTAATAATTTTTTAATTGTTTTCTTTTTTCAAATATAATCAGATTTTTATATGTTTTCTTATACGACGTCAATTGGATGTTATTATAGCAAGCGTATTTCAACAATTTTTACAAATTTGAATAATTTTTCATTTAAAAATTTAATTTCCAAAATTTGACAGTTCATTGTATCTTTTCTTCTATAGCCATAGAATAATTGTCGTCTAGTGTAAATAATGGTTTAACCACTAGAAAACTGATTGGAAAAATGCATTAAATCGTAGCATACCTTTAGGATGATAATAAACACATCATGTTCACATCATAAGTTTTAATTCATAATAACATTAATGACATTGAAAATATAAACAATTACTAAATAATTATAGCTATTGAATGAGATTTTTATTAACCCACAATTAAAACATTGAATACTTACAATATTTTATGTCAATAATTTTCTGAATTTTATTTCCGTTAGAATAGAAACATTTTTGTTAAAATATGAAATCTTTCGATTATTGCGAAAATATCTACCTTTACAAAAATATTCAAATAAAACAACAATTTTTGTTTAAATTTAAGATGACCCTTCTGACGTTATTTCGTCACCTCATAACTTACCTTATGCCATTAATATCCGGTATTGCGTGTTTGTCGTATACAATTCTCGAAATAATTGCTCTCCCCCTTTTTTGGTTTACTTCTTGAATTTTTCATCAAAAAAAAGCACACGCTTCGTTCAAAGGTGATTGAATCAGACAATGCATTCCATGTAAAATGTTGTTTTTTGTTTTTACAAAAACAAATAAACTATAGCAGTGAGAAAAATCCCCGCACAATCAGAAAAACAGAACATTTAACTGTGCCCAACAATAACATTGGTAACCTTTCAATATTGATTTGTAATTTGGAACATGTGTCACATGCCTACATAGTACAGAAAGGGTAATATGTATGATGCATATGTATTTGAGCACCATACACAATAAATAGAAATATACTTGACTGGTGGTAACAAAAAACCATGAAGTTACAAACGTGTATGTGTCTTTAGCTAAGACACAAATGATTTTGAAAAAAATAAATGTAAATGCATGAGAACACAAATATGTCAAAACTTTTAAAATTTATTTTTCAAAAATAACAAGATTTTTATATGTTTTCTTACATGACGCCTATCGGAGGTAAAATATGCATTTTTAGAACAATTTTTAGAAATTTGAATAATTTTTCATTGAAAATTGCCAAATCCGAAATTGTTTTGACAGTTCATTGTCCCAGCAGCTGTGTTGATGCGACTATATGTATTGTTCTATCATGTGTAAATGTGAGAGTACATAAGCAGTTTGGTATCATGCATGGTAGTTGCATTGACACAGCTGCTGGGAAAGTAAACTGTCAAACTAATTTTGAAATTGAAAATTGTGAATGAAAAGTTATTTAAATTCGTAAAAAATTGTTGAAAAATTAATGTCATAACAAGCTCCGATTGGCGTCGTATAAGAAAGCATATAAAATTCCACTCATTTTTGAAAAACATTTCAAAACTTTTGACACATCAATGTTCCCAAGCGTTAATGCATTAACCATGGTACCATGGCTAGACATATTAATGTCAAATTATAAAAGGGAACAACGGCAGGATTTGAGTGCGGCTCTGCCATTCCGTTATGATATGTCACATATCATGCGAAGACTTCAAGCTGCTTATGTACCCACAACAACCAAGGTAGATCTAACAGGTAACCGCATCGGCGAATTGCTACAACAAAGCAACTTTTGTGGTCCCCTCAAATGTCAAAATTGGCATCTAAGGCGAAAAACATAAGTTGTGTTCCAGTACTTTTTTAGTAGTAAAACTAGCAGAAGAGAGAACAGTTCGAATTGTCATTCTCATTTAGGTTTGCTCAAAAAATAAGGGAACGGAAAGTTAGCAGAAATGCGATAAAATGTCAAAATTCAAAATTCCAAAAGTAAACAGCCTAAATCGGACTGGTGAAACCTTACTGAAAAGGGCGCCAACATTTAATAAATGAGTATTGAAGACGATACGTTAAAATTAATAATTTATAATAATAATTAATAATCTGATTCCTCATTTAGCCAGTCCTCTTCACTGCTGGAATCATCCAAAAGTGAATACATCAGTTCCTCCATATTTTCTCTTTTTGTTTTTTGCACGACAAATATTAGTTTTTCTTAGTTTTCAAGTTGATCATTTTCTTTATTGAAATGTATCAATACATTTTTCAACCTTGTTAGCCCTGCCAATTAAATGTCAAATTTAAAATATGCACATTTCTGCTCGGCCAAATTCATGTAGCTAAAACAAGCAGAAATGTGCACCACTCAGCGCCATTTTTTCTCGAGAGAGCTGCAAGTTTTGCTAGTTTTTGGAGTACGGGAACGCGTTGTAGCAGAATTAGTGCTAATTAGTACTAATTTGCAGGTTCTGGAACACAACTATTGATTCGCCATGACATTTAAAGGTTGCGGCAAATTTGTTTCAACCAATCAGAAACGAGGTATTTGCTACATTTTATTTTGTGTGCCTCTCGTCGTAAACGAACATCGCAATAAAAGTTTTTATTGTAAAACAAATAAGAGTAAA